AGGATATTTTAAGCGTCTACATGAAAAATGAGTTTAAATCCGAAACTTGGTTTCAACAATTAATAGGTTTACAAATTTGTGTTTTGAATGGGTTTATTAGGTTTTAAATCAAGAATTTTGGAAATAATTTGCAGTTATTTTGTTTATTCATTAGCTATTTCAGGAAGTATGCGTCGTAGAGCATAATGGGTAACGAACATTTTCTTCGACATACTAAACTTGGACATATCAGCCTACATCGAAGAAGTATCTTTCATAGGTAGATCTACAAATAAAAGACCTTTAAAAATCGAAATAACCAATAAAAGATTGAAAAGATACATACTTGAAAATTATTATTATTTAAAAGAAGCCGGCTATGGTGTTGCAGAGTATTTAAGCCCACAAGCTCTACAGGAGAGAAAAAAACTAAACAATGCCTTGTATTCGGCACGAAAACAAGGACATTATGCCATAATAAAAAACAATAAGTTGTTTATTGATGGCAAAGAGTGCGAAGAACCGCCACTAAAGGACACACCGGTGCATTCAACTAACAAAAATCACTTGAAGACCACTGAGCACAGTCCCGGAAAACGTCGAAACTCAGGCACACCTCGTCCACCCCGTACCCAAACTGTAAGAACAAACCAACCAGGCAACAGCAGGAGGAGTGACGAAAATTATACTAAAAACTCTACTTTTCGTACCTTTCGAAACCAATTTTAATATTTTATTTCAAAACATGCAAAGCATTTCTAACAAAACACATATTATAGAGGCATTTACTGAGGAGAACTCTGATCTTCAGGTTCTATGTATATCCGAGACTTGGCTAAATAAACATAAAAAAGATTTCTTAAAAATTGAGGGTTACTTGATATGTTCGTCTTTCTGCCGGGAACATCACCAGGGAGGTGGTGTATGTATTCTAATAAAAAATACAATTGAATTTATTGATAGGTTAGATATATCCTCTATATCATTGGAGATGATCTTCGAAACATGCGCTGTCGAAATACCTAAGTTTAATTTGTTAATAATAATTATCTACTGGCCGAATAGTAAAAGAGAAGTGGACACATTCTATGTTTGTTTGGAAAAACTACTAAATCTCTTATCCAGAAAAGATTCCACAAAAAATATAGTCATAGGCGGAGACTTTAATATTGATTTTCTAATAAATAACGCTGAAAAACAGAGGCTTTCTAATAATATGCTATTATATAATTTCACGCAAAAAATTAAAGAACCGACTAGAATTACTCCATATAGCTCGAAATGTATTGATTTGCTATTCCTGAATTTTACATTAAACGATACTAAGGTAGCTGTTGATGAATTCGGTTTTTCTGACCATCGCGGTATATTAGTTACTGCACCTTTTAGTAAAAAAGAAAATAAACATTTTTTTGTATACAAACGAGTGTTTTGTGACCTAAACGTAAGTAAATTTAGGAACGCACTTACACTTATAAATTGGGAGGACTTGCTGAATTCTGGTAAAAACGTTAATGATAATTATAACATATTTAATAGTACTATACAAGAAGCTTTAAATAAATATATACCTAAAAGAGTAATAAAAATAGAGAGTAATAAAAAATGTAATAAGAAATATTTAACACTTGGGTTAAGGACATCATGTAGATATAAAAGATTCTTGAGAGTATTAATATTAAAAACAAGTAATAATAATCTTAAAAATCATTATAAACAGTACTGTAAAATATTAAAAAAAGCTATTAATATATCTAAAAAAAGTTGCAATAAAAAAGTATTTGAGAAATCACAAAACAAAACTAAAACTATGTGGCGAATAATAAATAAGGAGACAAATAAAAACATCCAACAATACAAAAATACGAAAATTAAAACAACAGACAATATAATACAAAGCGATCCTAAACTTGTAGCCAATTCTTTTAACTCTTTTTTTGCTGCAATTGGAAATTCACATACGGTCTCTAAAAGCATGCGAAGACCACCTTCTACAATTAACAGCGAACAAAGTTTCTTCTTGCGACCGGTAGATTTTAAAGAAGTACACAAAATAATAAAAAATCTAAAAAGAAAAACATCTTTTGGAATCGATGAAATACCTCCTACCCTGGTGAAAAGCTGTGCCGCTGTTTTTGCAGTCCCATACACTATGCTGGTAAACCAATCTTTTTCGGAAGGCGTTTTCCCTGATGCTTTGAAAATATCAAAAATAAAACCTATTCACAAAAGGGGAATATATACTGATATTAATAATTATCGACCAGTGACTCTCTTAACGACCTCATCCAAAGTGTTTGAGACAGCTATGGCGGTTCGGCTTTATTCTTTTTTAGAAAGGTTTAAAATTTTGCACGAAAGCCAAAATGGCTTTAGGAAAAATCACTCCACTATCCTAGCAGTTTATAAATTTATAAAAGATGCCTACCAACAAATAAATAATAGGAAGTACGCGGTGGGCCTTCTTCTCGACATGAGCAAGGCCTACGACAGGGTCAGTTATAGAACTCTTCTGGATATATTATATGGAATGGGGATTAGGGGATTGCCTCATGAATGGTTCAAATCTTATCTTGAAAATCGTTACCAATACGTGGAAATTGAAAATACTGATTTTGAGACAGGTAAAATTACACATACTAAATCTGATTTAATTCATGTAACTGGTTCAATTCCGCAGGGTAGCGTTTTGGGGTGTAATTTTTTTCTTGCCTATATTAATAATCTACCCAATGTACTGGAGGAGATGTGTGTGCTGTTTGCTGATGATATATCTATCTCTATATCTTGCTCAAGTGCTTCAGAATTACAATCTAAACTAGACTCTACCCTTAATAAAATTACGAATTGGCTAGAATCACACAATTTGCAACTCAATCTTAGCAAAACTAAGCTCATTCAATTCGGACCCTACCAAAAAGTGCCACTAGACATATCGTACAGTTATAGAGACACAAAGATTGATGTTGTCAATACTGCTACTTTGCTGGGTATAGAGTTGGATGCACACTTAAACTGGAAATGCCACATACAAAGACTGTTAAAAAAGATGTCATCTTTTGTTTATGCACTTCAACATTTAAAACGTGTGACTGATTTTAGATCCGCTCTTACTGCTTACTATGCATATGCTCATTCAATACTATCATATGGTATAATTTTGTGGGGAAGCTCATCTGACGTAGACAAATTATTTATAATGCAAAAGAAATGCATACGAATTTTGACAAACATCGATCAGATGGAATCATGTAGACCTTATTTTATTAAACATAGAATTTTGACCCTTGCATCCATACTCATCCTTGAATCATGTAAATTTGTAAGAAAACACCCAGAATTTTATTCACCAATAGTAAGTGTTAAAAGAAATAATAGGTATTTAAATAAATTAGAACTGCCATACAGCAAATTAAGATTGGTTTCGGATAGTCCTCATGCTATGACAATAAAAATCTATAATAATGTACCTAATAATATAAAGAACGTAGAAATATCAGCCAAATTCAACAATCAATTAAAATCATATTTAATCCAAAAATGTTTTTATAATTTAAAAGAATTTTTTGACGACAAATGTAATTGATTTTTAAAGTTGACATTTTCATTATTATTATTATTGCTTATTGACATTGTTAAATCTAGTTTATAAAATTGAATTGTTTGTTGTGTAAAAATTAAATTATTATTATTGTTGTTTATTGAAATTGTTAAATCTATTTTATTAAATATATTTGTTGTGTAAAAATGAAATGTGAACTAAGTATTATAATATAATTATTTAACAAGCCCTCTGGCTTGATATTTGCTATGCCCTTGCAGGGCGTCACATATTTACTTTACATAAATTAACGTACCACCATGAATGTTATGTGACATGCAATAAATGAATAAATGAATAAATGAATAAATGGGTTTTACCTGTAGATGCGGCTTAATGAGACGGGTCGATTGGTATTATAAAATTTCAGTAGCGGAAAAGTGCAGATAATCGGTTTTGGCACTAAGGGGACGATTTACTAATAATAAACTTCTCGCTTTCCAAACGCGCTTTGTTCGTTATTTTGAAAATGTACATATTAATAATTATAATTAGTAATAATATTTAATAGGAGTAACAATTAATTAATTCTTCATTAATAATTCTTATTAAAAAATAATGAACAAAAATATTTACAAAAAATAAAGACATTTATTTAAATTCAAAATAGGGAACCCTTCTACTACAAAGGCGATGTTCTTGGCTGTATCATTTCGGTGGTAATTTTTTACCATTTCGGTAGACAATTTTCATTTCAGTGGACTGCCGAAAACTCATCCTTAAATATTTCAGTAATTGGTGATTGTTGAATTTGCCCCGTAGGATCGTTTAAAAATGGAAAAAAAACCATAAACAATATTTTTTCTTTTTTTATTTTGCACCTTTAATTGCATTTTGTGTAAAAACTATGGGAGATACGCGAAAATAAGTTGATACCTTTTTTGTAGGAAATTAAATTTTCTACAACTTTGTACTACAAACTTTTTCTATTTTTCCAGCCAGTCGCGAGATATTGACGAAAAACTCGTTTTTGCACCATTTCGCATTTTTTTTTCACCCTTTTCCGTCAATGCAGCACCCTGCAATTTTAGTATATTAATCTACGAACCCTTGCGGAAATTTTCGCGTTGGTTGCAGGTGATCAACTCAAAATGGCAAAGTTAAGCCTTCATTGACTGGACTAATAGATGGAGCTAAAGAAGTTTCACTTCAGTTGTGTGGTCATAAGCACACTCGTTTTTTTCTTAATTCTTTTTCTTTTATATTTATTATGTTCATAAGAACAAAATTAACTTAATTATTCTATGCAAGCTTTATAGCTTATAAATACACTGTGGAAAATTCGTTTACGATTCATGAGATACAATCTTCGTAGTTATTATACCTACATCAACTGCGTTACAGGAATTTATTTTGTCTTAGGTATACCTATGTTACTGAAAACTTGTATTCTTTCATTTCACGTTTTTTAATTGCGTAGGTATGACAGAATTTTGTACATTTAACCGGCAGCTGAGCGAAACTCGGACGCGCGTGGAGTTAATGACATCCTGTTGGTTGAACGCAGCCGTTTATGTTAATAACAACTTTGTTGTGCAAAGTTTTTTGGGATCGGAAGATACGTATGAGGTACTTTTGTTTAGATAGTGATAGTAAATTAACAGTAAAATTTATCAATAGGCACTCTTTTTTTTCTTTAAATTCATATACTTAGGTAACATCTGAAAAGTCACAAATTATTTAAATGACTTAAATTTCACAACGTTTCTCATTTTTAAGTTTTGCGAATTAATATTTTAAAGGAGGAAGAATACCGTTAATGTACCTCTTAAACAGGCCTACTTTTAAAGTAACAATAGAGAGTAATATAAAGCTTTCTTAATATTAATTCTTAATGAAATTAAGCTTTTTGGATATACTTAGGTCTTTCAATGAATTCCGTCCGAAAATATCGTAGTAAGTAACGTATTATAAAATATCGTAGTAAGTAAGTGACTTTTGAGTCATGAAAATTCCAGGAAATGTTGATGATGTCACATGCATGCTTGACTCGCATCGCTTGCCACACTCTCCTGGGCACTAATAACCAACCAGATATAGATCCAACATTGCGAGCTGCGCGGCACGCCCGCCAAATACAGGATGTCTCCCATGCCACCGAACTATATCTGCAGGTATTTAAGGATTTTATATCTAAATAAGTCTAATAAAGAATACTTAGATATTAGAGATCAAGGGACCAAGCTGTATATCTGCAGGTTCGCTGAATTTGTTAATTGCCAATGAAGAAGTTTCTACATGACAGGCTTTGTTACCCTAACCCTAAGGAATAGCAGGTGTCTACAGAGCGTGGTGAACTGCTACACACCGTGCGCTTGATTTTCATCATCATCACCAGACTATTTTTGTTTTATTTATTTATTTGTTTATATTTAGGCAACGTAGGCCCGTATATAAATACCTTATAGTCTAACATATATACAGATATAGGTAATACATTAATGTAAAATGGAATAGGGATATTTGGCCATGACCAATCACGCAGCCCAGGGCGGATTGGTGGGTGCTTATGACTACAGATGTAGCTGACACCAACGGCCTTCCGAAAAACGAAGAAGCTTGAGATTATAAGTTTTAGTCACCCATCCAATGACCGACCGTTGCGAAAGTTGCACGAACGCAAGCCAAACGCGCTATTCGACTGCACCATCGAGCTCCTCGATCGAGCGCTTGTTTTCCACCATATAAGTAATAATAAAAAAGTAACAACCTACCTACTTATAGCATGTAGTAAACCAACCCAGGGGTGCAAATGGATGGCGAGAGCTATCCACTTGTCTGATGGATGTGGACATACACTGGGCTAATGTCTGCATCAACAAATCCTTGGTACTAAATCCCAGGCATCGACTTAGGTGAGTCATGAAGTTTTGAATTTTTACAATCATGATTCGGACATTTGGGGGTGAATCTCTTCTTTGTCGCTTAAATTTTCCAAAATTTACGGCTAAAACCTCGATCACACTTATATTCCTACTAGCGGCCCGCCCTCGCTTCGCTTCGGTGTAGAGCTGAAGTGTAGACTACAGTTTTTATTCTCAGGCTTGTATTATACACAATGACATTCATCTATGATTCTTCTTGTACCTGCATGCAAAGACTTAGCCCGATCGGTTTAATATCGAATAAGGTTCATACAAACTTTAATTCCCTATTTTATCCCCTTGGGGGTAGAATTGATCAAAATCCTTCCTTAACGGATGCCTACGTCATAACATCTACCTGCATGCCAAATTTCAGCCCGATCCGTCCAGTGGTTTAGGCTGTGTGTTGATAGTTCAATATGTCAGTCAGTCACCATTGAGTTTTATACCTATATATAGATTTCCCATTTATCATATTTGATATTTTTACAGTTTATTATCAAAAGCGTGCAAGTTATACGATGAAGATCCAGAAGCTGCTGAAATGTTCTTTCAGGCTATTGTGTCTTTATTTCCGTTCTGGTCAACGGGCTGGGTCGTCGCGAATGTGTACTACGTGAAACGAAAACTGTTTCATATGGCTGATCAAGCTATGAAATATATGAAAAAGTTAGTATGTACTTAAATACGATGTTAACCTAACCTATGTACTTAATTGATATCAGCTTTTCGCATTCTCTTCGGTTAAAATGGTTGCTTCCAAAAGGATGCTTAATTCTTTCATCTAAAAAGGCATACCTTTTTTATCAACACATTTAGCTTTAAGGATTGTTCCAAAAACAGTAGTCTGAAGTCATAAATTTTACTTCTTTTCTATTCTGATTTTAACCTACTACGAGTATAGCATATGAATAAAAAAAAGTATTGTATTTATATCTTATTCTTTATTTTACAAAGAACCATGGAGGATGGTTTGTCAGAACATCTGGAAGCTGTTGGATGGGCTCAGGAACTGGGAGACTGGTGGGATACCACACCATTACTTCCCGGGATGAACCCGTACTATATCGCTACAGACCTTTTGCTAAGGCTACGATCTTTTACAGTACGTATTTCTCACCAACAGTACAACTATAGCATTTTTTTTTATCTCATTTCAAATGGTATGAAATTAGTTTCTGGCTTTTGATCTACGAGCAGATTTGATTCCTGATTTTACTATTTATTTGTTGAATTATAACTATAGCACTAGATAGAACTATTGTGTACGAGTACGTCATTAATTTAAAAGAAGCAAATAGTTACCTCTCGATTGAAATGATCTCGCATTTTGATCTGGGAGCCATTTTAAGATTATTTCTATAATAGAAAGTTATATAACTTTCTGTAATAGAAATAATTTTAAAACTGCTCTCCAAAAATGATCAAAAAAGTAAAAAAATGCGAGATTATATAAATACGAAATATATATTTAAAATAATAAGATGACCATGAAAATATACACACACACACACACACACATAAACACACCTAACAAACTCCTTTAGTTATTCCATTGAATTTATAACTTACAGTTATTTGGATTACTAAATTGTTTTCTAAATAGTACACAAAATTATGAATGAGGTGGAGGGTTGATTACCTGAGCCACATGGTCCATCCTAGTTAAGGTGTCAACCCACCGTAGTCTGATCAATATACCAGATTTATTTTTTTGGTAAAAAATAGCATGTTTTTATGTCATTGTTTTTATGTAACCATTAATACACATTGTGAACATTGTAAGAAATAAAAGTTATTATTGGCGATAATCTAATAAGACTGAAAACGATTTCTTGTCATTTTATGCAGTGTTCAGATTATCTGAAACGCAACGCAACAACTCTATAAGTCTGATGTACACTATAATGCAAATAACTGGGCTGTAGTTTGTACTGTAAATGTTGTTGAAAAAAGTGTGGCTATGAAACTCGATCCTGACATAATTTATCTACCTTTTTATCTTTGATGTTTGGTGATGCTCCGCTTGCCTCGTAAAAATATTATTATATAAACTTTACTATAAACGTGTAAACACATCGGTATATTTCTAAGCTAGCAGAAGTTTGCCTATCTCGCGGTGTTGCGGAAACTGGGGAAACCGCATTGTTCTACCACCTACTGGCCTTGTGCTGTCGGCTGCGTGGCGATATAGACGAGGCCTTATGCCATCTACAGTTGGCCATCGATAAATTCGGAAATGTGAGTATTACACTTTGTAGATTGATCGAATCCCGATGAATCAAAAACATCTACAATTCCTAACTAAACTACAGAATCTCTGTTAAAAATAGGGTCTTACCCACAGGTCAAAACCTACCCGCTAATGGTAACAGGTCTATATAAATGTTAAATAAAACTATATAAATCTAAACTATATAAAACTATATAAATGAACCTATATAAATGTTATTGACTAGCAAAATCTGGAAACATCTGTGCAAAGGACAATGTTAAAATTGGCCTAAGAACCAACACCAATTTGGCATTTATGATAATTCTTAGTATATTTTTTGCGATAATTATCAGTATTTAGATTGTGACGGACACTTCCAGTTAAGTAAGCTAAATTAAAAAGTTAAAAAATAATCTGAGACAATAAATACCGTTTTATGTGTATAATCTATGGCAGCGCTGCAAACAAAACACTCTTTCTTTCTAATGCCGGCACTTCACTTGGCTATTCGTATTTGCTATTTTAAAACATGACATCAGTCTGTCCTTTTCATTCCTTATTAAGCATGACAAGGACAAACTGTTGTCAAGTGAAGGGCCGGCATAAAACTCGTTACTCTGTGGTTGTGGTGCATGCAGTTTGCATTCGTAGTAATCTGTGGCATTCGTACATTCCAAAGAGTAGTTTATTAGGGTGCGGCCAGAGTGCACTCAGATTCAGATTCAGATTCTGAAAACAAGCGCGAGAAATAAACAGTTTAGTCTAAGCAGGTTTCCTGCTTTTTCTCGCGCTTTGTTTTCTGAGTCTGAATCTGAATCAGGAGTGCACTCTGGCCGTACCCTTCGACTACACTGTTTATTTCTCGCGCTTGTTTTCGGAATCTGAATCTGAATCTGAGTGCACTCTGGCCGCACCCTTATACCGGAAAGTGCATTCTCGTTTCGGATTACCTGTTGTGTGTTTATTTGCGATTGTTTTTCTTAAATTTAACTATTTTGGCTATCTAATATGCCATCGATGTTACCAAAGAGAAAAGCCCCTATAACCAAGTGTTAGTGAACCTGTGCCACAACATACTGAGAGGATCATACTGCTTAATTATTCAAGAACACACCCGATACACATTCACGCTGCATATTTACACAATATACATGTGATATACAAATAAATACAATATTCAAATATGATACAACTATGTGAAAAATAGTCAACAAAAAAGAAGCAAAACTACAGTTTTTATTTTATTCATGATTCCTACCTAACCAAGTTTTTCCTAAAAGTTCTTTTTTAAAATCGCACCGAATAAAATGAATTAGTTGTAATATTAATTCACTTCATACTGAGTTTATACTAAATTCATAGGTTGACCTATGTTTCATTGAATATTAAACATAACCTCAAAAATTTTTAAGTTTTCCTAATAATTTAAGTTCTCAGAAGTGTCCGTCAATAATCTTTGTTTTTACAGTCATTTACTTACGATTTTGAACCTAGAAAATAATATTTCATGATTGTTGGTTCTTAGGCTAACTATGTATGGACGCTGAACAATGTCCTTTCCAGCTTTCTTGAGTCAGGTTTTTACCCCTGGTCCCACTAACATGTCCCCCTGGTGAGTACACGGGTATATTGTACGGGTATAAATGGTGTGGACACTAGCCAACTTCCGCAAAGTCCAGTCTAGGGATAGAATCAGTGTTGCCAACTCTACGTCTTTTTACGTAGATCTACGTATTTTAGGCCTTTTCTGGAAACCTACTAACTTAAGTCCCAGAATCTACGTATTTTCTTATTTTTTTTCAAATTTGTAAAATAACTTAATTCACTAGAATAAAGAAGAATATTTTATATTGAATATTTAAGAAGATGTATCTAAATACGCTTGCATCTTGTAGAAAAGGTTCCCGTTATTGGTTTTGTTGACTAAATTAATGCTGGACGCAGGATTTGTGAAAGCAGAAACGACAAAACTCTTTGACTGAGTAGGTACATTCATAACCTTAAAAAATGTATTTTTAAACTTTTACTATTATCAATGAGTACCTACTCACATCGAATTGATCTTTGCAAAAAGAAAAGACTTTCAGTCGATAAAGTTACAGGATTTAGCAAGTTTTAAGCATATGTTCATGTGTAAGTATGTTTTTTCTCTTGGCAATTTAAACCATAACTTTTCTAGAGTCTTTTACCAAGTGTATCATGATAACTACTATATTTTTCATGTGATCTATTAGAAATCATGGTTTTATAATATTAACTTAGAAAGTTTATTTCCTACGTGCTTGCGAGTGTTTGTTTACAAATGTTTTGGCGCCATAGCATAGATAAGTCTATAGACTAAAGAGCGTTTTTGTATGTCTTCTAGGTAAAAAAAAAACTTTTTTTCGTTCTGATAGAATAATTATTAACAATTTAAAACATAATTCCAAAAAGTGTCAACTAGCCTATTTAACAACAGTTTATCCTTGTCATTCTCTATACAGAATGAAAAGGAGAGACTGATGTTAAATTAAGTTTTAAATTTAGAGAACCATCCAGAATCGGCACCCACCACTGTCTGTGTCTGATGGTAAATGTTTACCACAGCATGGTAAATGCTTCCAATGCAGCTACTTCTCCAAGAACTCTTCGTTCTATCTCCCGTTCTTAAACAAATTGTATTACAAAATACTCGTTTTATTCGGTTTCAAATAACTTCTTCATTTCACTCAGAAAAAAGTACGTAGATCTACTTACTTTTCATATGCAAAATTTACCAATTCTACGTAATTTTCTCATCGGACCTACGCCTTTTTCAAAATCCGAGTTGGCAACACTGGATAGAATAGATTAACTTGAGTTATTTTGTGCTGCAAACGAAAAATTAATATTCCCGTGTTTCATCTGTCCCACGATGTGTGTTGTCGCGAGCGAGGCCGAACCGCGCAGAGTTGCCAACGTATGAGAACGTATTATGTATAGATACTGCTAAATCTCGAACGTTAGAGTTCTCATACGTTTGGCAACCCTGCGCTGCGCGGCCTCGCCCGCGACAATACAGATCGTGGGATAGCACCTTTAGAATTCGGTAGCATCCACCAATCCGCATGGATCTCCGTGTTCGGTAGCGACTTATTCTTCGTGCTTATGTGGAAAAGTTTTGAGGCCTGTACCTCAAAAGTTGGGGAAATAATAGGTTTATGATATGAGGGAAGGTATTACGGTTTTCATCAACCATATAAACTTCACAAGAGAAGTATTTACTTTCTTTGAAAGCGGACTTAAGTGTATTTTTATAACTGTTTTCTCAAATGCACTTCAAGTATACATAGGAATAATAATAATAAATATATTATGATTTTGCAGGTTATCTACCTGCGAGCATTACAAGCCGAATGTTATCACAAAAAGAAAAACTATGCTGCTGCGATGGGGTCCTACGAAAAATCAGGCAGTAGTTTATGCGCTTACAGGTTGTACTTTATTAATAATTCTATTTAAACAAATATCTGGCGCCGTATAGATAGGTGACTATTTTTCTATACAAAACAACGCTATTTCTTACTTCAAAGTTTAAAAATAAGCAATAAATTTATAATTATGGGTTGGCAGTCTTTTTTATTCTATACAGTAAATGAAATATTTGATACACATCAAAATTTGCTACAATGAATTTCTAAGCTTATAATGCTTGTAATTCGACTTAAGAGCTAGCTCGTTATCATTCAAACAATTGACGAATAGAAAGAAATTCACTTTTCAAAGGCTGCAGGTAGAAAAGTACGATTAATTGAGATGATTATTCTGGTACCCTGAATTTTCTACATGTCTAATGTCTTTGAGTAGCTCAAGATTTGTAGTTTGCTTAGCTTAGTGCCTTATCACCCTGACGGATTACTCGGCGAGCGTTATCCAAGCGCCGCGGATACTCACTCACTACACACATACACGCAGTAATATAATGGATTCCGAGGAGGACACATTGCTGTTAGCTTTATAACTTCGAAGACTCAAGAAACGTACACGAATATATCGACGAATTTAGGAGGATCCGTTATCAAACCAATCAACTGAAAAATGGCAGTTGTCATTATTTATCGCCCCACTATAGCATAGAATAAATAAGAATCAAAAATAAACCAAAACTATTTATGTGACCACTCCACCCTAGAAAAAATCGCATTTCGTCAGTATGATAAGGCCCTCAAACTGCGGCTCATCTTGAAATAAATGGGCATAGTTATTAATGTTTAGGAATAACTGCAGAGATGATCCTCAACGATTTTTTTTAATAACTCGGTACATGGACATTTCCAGATCGTAGCTCGTAGATCTCAGGTCCGTAGTATGATCGCTAAATCGTAGTGAGTCTGATAAATAAACTTCCGTATTTATTTTCTCTTCAGCATTCTTCTTTCGTTACCGTGTTGGGAGAAACTTCGGGCTCGATCCATACTCCTGGACCTTATTCGACGTCAACCGAGTGCCTATGCCTGGGTTGCCCTTGCGGAAGACTGGTTACAAGTAATTCTGATTTTAAAGTTCTCATTCATAAGATAAAAATAATTTACATCGTGATAAATGGTCCAGGGCAAAGTGTTTAATGGAGGCACACTTTTCTGGCGCATCAGCAAGTTGACTCCACTTTTACTTAACATAACATAGAATATTTTTTTGCGGTTTAACAAAAAATATTTAACCGAAATTTGAGGTCTTAAAAAGGCTAAACATAACAAGATATTGCCATACACAAGGGCCCTGCGATTTCCGCATCCAGTAGTTCCACCCGACTCGCTTCACGTTGTCAGATCACCTGGATCTACCGACACTGCGCTTCCGCTTTTATGTCGACTATTCGGTATTCTAGTTTTTCTAGAGATTTCCTCATTCCTGATTCGATCATGTAGACACCAATCATAGCTCTCTTCATCGCTCGCTGTGCGACTCTGAGCCTTCTTGTTAGGCCCATATTCAACGACCAAGTCTTAAGGGTAAACGATAATAAATCAAGGAATTTAGACATTTGTTATTTACGGGATTGCTACCATTTACCTACCTTATTTTTTGCGAATATCCGTTAGTTCAGCATTGTTGCAAGTGCTGGTGTTACCAGTTACTCCGTGATCATAGCACTTGCAACAGTGCTCGGACTCACAAAAAAACTAGGAACAGAATACAAATTACTAAATCTTAGTAAGTAATAACCATGAAAGTTTGAAATAGCTTCGCACCATTTCAGCAAAGCAATGGTGAAACAACACTCTGTAGACACACCTGATGAAATACCATTGGTGGGGTATTACAAGATATTCTCCTTACAGTAATGTTATAAGTTCCGTTCATTTGATGCCTTGGCCGTTATCATCATCATTCATATTTTCACTGTTGCATGAATCGACCACCATAAGTCTTTTGTGACTGTTACATACATATCTCTCAAGCGTGATGTGTTGAAGGACAAATTGTTAAAATTTAAGATTGCAAACGCCTTTGTTATATAGTTTTATAAAGTCCTGGTTTTTTGTACAGCAGACCGCTACCGCTGAAGGAGGTGACGCTGAGGTCACAGATCAGGCTGGAATACTAACATGCGCTGCTGCGTGCGCTGTCCAAGCCTTAAAGTGGGATCGGCAGGCAGGGCGAGCGTGGGCCCTGCTGTCGAGACTAGTGGCGCCCTCTGCACGCCGCAAATACTGCCTGAAGATGGCCCAATCCGTTTGTATCATGACACAATTTTTTTGTTGTAGGTACGGCAGCTGTTGAAGCAACAGAACAGAAAAAGAAACTCTCGTTTTCTGTTCCGTGGTTGAAGCGAAGCCTTTTGTTGCGATTGCTTAATGTAATATTTGAAGTAACTGTGAAAGTGTTGATCTTTATTCTTGACTATTATTAAGTAATTAGCGATTGCTATTAAGTACCTTCAGGTACAAACAGCAATCCCTACAATTACTATAATATTAGTGAATAGTGAATGAAAGTTTTAAAAAATAATCTTAACTTTTGATAAACATCTTATCCAAGATTATCAAAACTGCTATAGACTTGATTTCTTACTTACGTAGAAATATGAAACAATTTCCATATTTAACTGTGCTAAGTGATCTTAAGGAGTTCTATGGCGCACGCTCTAATTTCGTTCGTCGAAGTCAAGCAACTTTCGCAATGTCTGGTCATAGGACGGACGGGTGACTAAAAGAGTTTCATCTCGAGCTCGATGCTTCGACAGACGCGCGCGTTGTTTGGTCGTTCTCGGCTGCGTTTGTGATGTGTTATTTCATCCATACAGTTCATAGGGTCGTAGTGTGCCTCAACAGTACAGGGATTTTAATAGACAGTTGATAAGTGACCATATTTTTTTTTAACTTATGTTACAGTGCGATTATGAATTCACGGAAAAAAGAAATGAATCCAGCAGCGAATCTCAACAGTCTCTATGCTACCGCCTTGGCAAGGTCCTGCGGGACTGTCGCTGTTTTATGTGTGAACATTTCAAGATTTAAATTTAATGACGTAATTTAATTACTTTTTAATTCATACTTCTATTTCTACCGTTAATGATGTAAATAAATGGAAAACAATAATAGAAGCTTGACTTTTATTTCAGTTTAATTTATGATAATACATGAAATATGACTACACAGTGTAAGTAATTGTTTACATAATATTCTATTTGTTTAATCTTTATTGCTTTCACATTGCGAATGGATAGACAGACTTAATGCTAATAAGATATTTTCTTCCAGTTTAGAAAACGAAAAACGGCAGGAAATAAAATATGAGAGCCTTTGTTCGCACTCTCTCCGACGAATCCGACGAGGATTCTCAAAAGGACGGATCATCATTTATCTTCACTTTACTCCTTTCGCCGCATACCGTACAGTAAAATGGAGAAAAAAACCTATTAATAATAACACATTTATTTTTCTAATCAATGGCTTAAAAGAAATACTTGCTTAGCCAACTCCGCATTTAGTTTCGAGATTGCTGAAGAGGCATACCGTTTTGTAACGCAAGATTAAAACTATTACAATTACATTCTGCGACAAAACGAGATGTCCTAAAAAAAGAATAAATTGGACGAATTGTACCTGATTGGGTTATGTTAGATATAATTAGTTTTAGCTAATGTTTAATTCATTGGATTTTTTTTAGTATTTTTAAATCTATAGCAGAAAAAAGGTTGTGGTTATTCTCGCAAGCGTTTTTCTTGTTATTGTATTCCAGCGAAATGAGAATCCGTCCTTTTGCGAATCCGACCAAGTGCTATTAACAAATGGATGAGAATTAACATCGAACAATGATTAATAAGAATAATGTGAATAGTATCCACCCCGGCAAACTTATTGAGCATAAACCTTAATCAGCAATTTTACATACATAACGTATAAGTACGTAGGCGCAGAATTGACGTATAACTAGGTACTATAACTACAAAACGCCTTAGCCTTGATTTAAAGTAATGTCTCTGCCTTCTTATTGGGAAACAAACATGACAGCATTAGTTTTAGCCCATGTTTAACGTTAGTCTATAAGGAAACGCGGAATAAAGTTAGCCTTGATTTAAACTAATGTCTCTGCCTTCTTATTGGAAAACAAACATGACAGCATTAGTTTTAGCCCATGTTTAACGTTAGTCTAAGTTTTGTAATAAGGAGGAAGAAGTTTGCCAATACCTAGGTATGTACTAATTATCCTCTATCTGGATTTGGGGGAGGGGACGGAGGCAGATGCCTGCTGGGCGGGTACGTCGTCGGTTCCTCCGGGTCCGGCGGGCTTGGCAAGTCCGCCAACAACTTGGTTAGCCATATCAGACCGTAAACAATCACTGTCACTCCCGAAATCCTGAAAACGGTTGACTTTTTAAAGCTTCTTTGTTTTGTTACCCTCATACCTCTCGCCAAGGTATAATACATGTACTTATATAACAAATTTTATACGTCTAAATATTTTGTTCACACTCACATAAAACGTGTAGTATACAAGACTTGCATCAAACTTGTTGGATACACAAAATATGTAAAGTAAAAAAAACGACGGATTGTATTCCGGGAGTGCCGGCAGAAGTGAAAACTTAAATGCTAACGTTGTGCATTTTTGATATTTTGAAATGGTTAGGGAATAATTGTGCACGAATTGCTTTAATTATCAGTATAAAAGTACTATCATTTATGTGGTAGAATACAATATATTGCGCTATCGTACACAAACATGACAATTTATATTACATTAAAAAGTTTATCTGTCAGAAATATCAACTTACATGAATCACATTTAAGCGCACCTAGAGACATCTATTGTACAAAAAATGCGTTTTCTTCGCAATAAAGCTGCCACCTGGACATCCTAATAAGAGACTTATTATTATAATACGATAAAATAAAATATTACTACGTTTCGTCCAATACATTGAAGGTCAACAACCTTTCCAATTTTATTGTTTTTGTCTTACGAATTTTCGATTAGGTCACGTGTCCGGACGCGATCAGGCCACGTGTCATGACGCGATCAGGCCACGTGTCCTGACGCGAGTTTAACAGTTTTTACCCATTACAAAAAAAGTGTCAACGCCGCTAAAGAAGTTTTCACTTCAAAAATAATTATTTATACTTGTAACTATACTCGTTGTCTATGCAGTGTAAACGAACTAATGTCACATCATGTATTCTACAAGTTTTGTTTAAAATTAGTGTAAGACTTGTTTCTTGTGGAAACGAGGGGTTAGAGCTTTGATTTTTCGTTACTACTACAACGAAAGTTAAAAACTTGTTTTATCACTTCAAATTCATGTTAGGTGCCGTACAGGAGATTATTTACCCTAGGGCTAAAAGGCCCATGGCCCGGGGCGGCAGGCTGCGGGCGGCGGCTACAAGACTTACGAAGGGCGGCAGAAGTCATATAAAGGCATTAGTGACTGAACTTTATCAAGATTTGATTTAACAATTCTAGGAAGGAATCCGGGCCCTCTCCTCTGCAGCAGAAGTACATATAAACAATATCCCGGAATAGCAAAGTTCCAGATAAGCAGAAGAACAGATTTTCATAAAGGCAACTAATAATGTAATGTCGTCGTCAAAAAAGATACAAACCATATTTGTATATGGTATTATTGCTTGTCTGTCCTTCTGCTGCAGAGGGGATCAGGGGCGCCAGATTTTAAAATACAGGCAGTCCTCGACTTACGTCGTTTCAAGTTACGTCGAACAAGGTTTTGACACTATTCCTCAAGCATATGACAATTGTTTCGATTTCCGGCATACAAGAATTCAATTGTCGCGAGGTCAATGTCCGTGGGGCTGGCGTTCGTGGTAATGTCTGGACTTACGTCGCGTATTTCGAGAACGGCATGTTGCCGGCAAGTACGAGGACGGATTGTACACCCCTGATGATATCTACTTTTCTACTTTACTTACATGACGATTTAAGACTCATCTTACTGCTTCCGTTTCAATAGTATTTTGTGACCTATATTGTGAAAGTACGTAATGTAAAGAAGGTACCAATCTATAAGTAATAGAATAAAATGTTAGTTAAATTGGTACTTACATTGAAAAACTCATGTATTGCAATAAGTAATTAAATCAAACACATTAGGCTGTTTGGTTTGGTACACTTCTTCATTTGGATTGTTCAACTCGTTTCCGATGAACAACTGTAGACTCACTGGTATTATTTTCTTCGTCATGAAAACACGAGTAAAAATTATTCTTATATTAGATTTTTTTTCCAGCAATTGAGCTAGGCGAATGCTATAATTGCTAGGTGAATGCTTGCAGTTTGCTTATTACCGACGAAACCATCCCCACTCAGATATTCTTTATGAGTCGTGTGTTTAATTTTTTTTTACTAATCACATCATCGAAGAAAATTTCCTGTCTAAGCAATAATACATTTCATTATTTTGATGTCATACCTCGAAATCTCGAATCCATAAGTTATTAGCTTTAAAAAAAAATAAGAATATCTTCTACTGGACTACGCTTATTAACAATAATATTATTATTTACTTGTATAAATAAAGCCTTTGAATCATTCAGTTCAATAACAAACTTTATAAACAAAATAGCTAAGCGTGAATTGGCTCCTTGGGAGTAAACTCGCTACATGGTACATCCCATCTCTGCTCTCGGGCTGGATATGGATAAAGAGCAACCCCATAAAACAATAAAGAAAATAGTAGGGATAACAGGACGCCCACGTCCTTGAATATCCTCATTGAAAAGGTTCAGGAAGTCAGAGTGACTAATAATTCCCCACTGAAATAGTCTGAAAGCACAAAGCGCCCAGCGCGGCAGCGCGGCGTTCGCACGTTTGGAAAAATACCACCTTACCTTTCTGTTACGATAGTGGCAGATTACCAGTCTATCACCGACAAGTTTCCGAAATTTCTCTTAATGCTAACCCCTAGAGTACAAGTCAAAGTTTACTACTTTGTAGGGTGCCCATGATAGAGTGTTGACATGTCCGGATTACGTGGGTATTGCCGTAATGTGTACTACAACCCCTGTCAGGTTGCTCTCAAATCGCACGCAATATGCTCTTGTAGCTGAAGAGCATAGGTATTGCATGTCAGTCACCTACAGAGAGAGACTGAAATAAAATACAGTTTGCTCTAATTTTTATTTATGAGCAAAAAACATACGAGTACCGACAATTTAGGCTGCTATGGTATGTAGAATGACATTTTTCAGTATAAGCAAAATAGATGACGTGAGTGCAGACACACCCTCTCGCTTTTATTGAAATGCATTATGCTTCATAGTACTGATGTCTAATTCTCTATTAGATTATTGCAAGCAACCGCCAACGAGAACCTGCGTGCTACTGTATTTATGTAGTAAAGAAAAAAGCCGCCGCATACAATGTAGAATGGGTAAAAAAAAATGAAGACAGGTAATATATATGAAAATCGGGTGCCACGACCACACCCTCAGGTGCTCAAAATGTACGCCGGGTGACCGTTGCAGGAGTGGTTATAGTCTGGTTGTAACTGGCCCTGTCATGGAATTATGAAGACCCGAGGCGAGAGAGAAGACTGAGTTTTGGAGCCAGCCGTACCACTTCAGAGTGGGCACGGGACGGCTGGGATAGCGACATAGGCGTTTCGTATACGTCCGGCCCAGAAAGGGGAGACCGACCATAGGGACAAAGGAGATAAGGTAATGGAACCAGTCTTGGACAGTGTACCAATAATGGACATATTCAATCCCAGATACTAAAAATAACCAAACCCTGACTTTTATTTTACCATAGCAACATTTTTTATGAACATTGTGAACATTATGGATAACCGAACAAGATTTTTTAATTTTGACATTTGACGGCCATATTGTTCCGATATTATCTACGGTCATGTGAGTGTAAGTGAAACCAATCTAAAAAATCCGTTTTTATTAGAAGAATCTTAATGCAGGTGAGTTACTATATTGACATTTTCAAAAATTTACATTATATTGTGAATGTTTGTTGATTTATTTAATGATTCATCATTAATCTTAGGAGCATGTTTGCACAAAAACTCATCGTTAGTTCTCAAATAAGTATTTTTTTAAGTGTTTATGACTGGAAATTTAAATGTGTCTGTACCCA